CGAGGCCGCCCGGGGGCGCTTGGCTCGGCCGCGCTGCGCCGGGGGCCGGACGGTGGCCAGGGCCGCGCCTCCGCGCCGGCTCGGGGCTCCGCGGGCGCCTCGACGCCCCCTTCCGAGCGGGCGGCCCCGCGAGGGCTGCTCGGGGACGCCAGCCTGGCAGGCAGGCAGGCAGGCAGGCAAGCGAGCCCGGCGCCCGCCCCGGGGCTGCGCGCTAGGCTGCCCCGAGCGCTGGAAGCTCCATCCCGCCCGCGCCGGAGGGACCGCTGCTCTTGGGGCCGATCCTCCGCGGTGGAGCGGGGCCTCCCATCGGCTCGGGCCCGCCTCGCCGGTGGGGAGGGGGGGGGATGCGGAGCGCGCGAACTACATCTCCCAGAGTCCTTTGCTCCCCCTCCTCCCCCTCCCCTCCTCCTCCGCGCCCCCCCACACCTGAAGAGCCGCCGCGGCCGCGCTCGCCGCCCGAGGGAGCCGGCGTGGGAGAGGCGCGCGCGCCCGGGGCGAGCTCGGCGCCTGCAGGCGCATCGGGGCGGAGCGGACGGGATCGGCGCCTGGCCTCGGCCCGATCGGGCTGCGGGGACGCCCAGGCGCGCGAACGGGGACAGCCCGGCTCGCCTGCACCTGCCCGGGCTGTCCCTTGGCGGCGGCGGCGGCGGCGGCGGGACGAGGAGGAGGAGGCGGAGGAGGAGGCGGAGGAGGACAGGTGAGCCGCGGCCCGGCGCGGGGCGGGGGCGGGCGGCGGAGCCAGCGCTCGCCCCGGATCGCGCGACGCGGGTCCGAGCCCCGTCGAAACTTCTGGCCTGTTGCAGGACTTCGGAGAGGCGGCGCGGCGGGATGCGCGGGGAGGGCGCTGCCGGGCGGCGCTCGGCTTCGTCCCGCCGGTCGCGCCCCCGTCCCCGCCGCGCTCAGCCCGCTCGCCATGTTGGCTCCCGCTGGTGTGTCAGCGGGCGCCCCGCCGCCCGAGGGGACCGTCTCCCCGTGCAGCGCCGCACGGGATTGGGGCCGCGAGGGTCCAGGGTCCAGGGTCCGGCTGAGCCTGCCGCCCCTCCCGGTGGCCCTGTTTACTCGGGCAAACGAAGCTGTTGCTTCCCCTCCTGGTTAATAGATAATGCCGCCCCGTCCGTCCGTCCGGGGCCCTGAAGTGCGGTTGCCGCCCCGCGCTCCGGAAAACTCAAGCAGCTCCCGGAGTTAATTCCTGGTGCTGCCCTCTAATGAGCGCCTGCCCCCCCCCCGGCCCCATGCCTGCCCCCCTCGCCCTCGTTGCAGACGCTCCCAGCGTTCCTGACTGTTGACTGTGCTGGCTGGGGCAGATGGGGGCTGAGGTCCAGCATCGCCGGAGGGCTGCAGGTTGAAGGAAGCGGTGGGAGGCGGGAGCTGGCATGGCTTTGCTTTGCTCCGGATTCCCCTTGGTCCAGTGAGTCACTTTGGGTAATTATTGCAGCGGCCACGTGCCTTGCATGCGTGGGGAAATCGCTTTATACCAGGATTGTTTCCTCCGAACTGGGCACAGTCGGAGCCGGTGACCTTTGACCTTCCCTGCTGTGTGCTCAGGGAAGCTGCAGCGCGCTGCCCACCCTCCCGGCACGAGCCTTTGCAAGTTAGGGAGGAAAAAGCCCTCCAGTTGCGAGCAGTGGGTAGCCCCTCGCGATTGCATCTCCGAGGCCGTCCTGGAATTCGCTCGCTCCAGATAAGAAAGGGTCCCTAGGTCTGTCTCCCGTTCAGACGGTGTGGGGCCAGGGGAGCCGACCCAGAGGGCAAAATTCCAGTTTGGAGGAGCCTCTTAGGGCCACTTTCCAGTGGCAGCTGCAGCCAGACATAAATCCAATTTTGTGGGGGGCCAAACACAAAAGTACTGAACATATTTTAACTTACCGCTTGATGCTTGGCTCTTCCGCAGTGGGAAAAGCCATGCAAAAGCTGGGAACACACCAAACAATTGGGGTGTGGGGCAAAAGAAGGGGGGGTGTGGGGCAAAAGGGCATGGCTTTCTGGAGACCCACAGAAGGTGCGTTTGGGACCCTGGAGGGCCAGGGTTTGCCTGAACCTCTGCCCCACTGACTTAGGGGGAATGTTCCCCTCTGCAATTTGACAGCGAAAGGCCGCTTCCCCGACCCCCCCCCACAGCCATCTTGCAGGCAGGAATTCACACGCCCGCCCTTGGCAGGATCGAAAGGAAGCTGACCCGCCTGGGGTTTTGCTTCCCAGAAGCGGCACTAAAAGCCGAGAGTAGAGAAAGCATCCATTAGACAGTTGAAAGGCTTAAGAGCCGCTTCTCTCGCCTGTTTTTGCCTAAATGCCGCGCGCGAGGCGTCTCGGTCCCTCATTTTTGTTGGGGGCGTGTAGGGGCGAAGCCGTGAGGGCAAGCTCTGTCTCGTGGGGTTTGGGGTTGTTCTGAAAGGCCTCGAATGCACACCTGCCTCTGCCCCACAGATGTGGTGGGTGGCAGCTCCTGCGGTTGGTCCCTGGACTCACCTGGCAGGTTGGAGGGCGCTAATCCAGGTCCGCCTCCTCGCTGCAGGCCGAGCCCTGGGAAAGAAAAGGTGCGGCAGGGCTGGCGCGTGGCGGAGGGGGCGCCTCACCCACTGCAGCTTTTCTTTTGTGCTGGCTTGGAGCTTTGCGGAGGTATCCATGGTGCTGAACGCCGTCCCCTAGTAGGCGCACCAGGGACGACTGAGCGTGACTCCTGTGAAGCCCAAAAGAAAAGCTGACGGGAGTCACCGACCGCCCCAGGGCGAGCGTCGGCAAGACATTGCTCCCCCGGCCCACCCCAGCCATTTTTCAATCTTGTACAACTTGGCTGCAAAAGCCAAAGCAAAACACCACTGCCAAGTGACGAAGAAACCCCCAGGGGCGGGGAAGCTCATGTGCTGTTTTCCTTTTAAATAAACGGGCAGGTATT